CACCTGCCCCCTTTAAACAAAAAGCGTTAATTAAAATTAGTCCTTAATCAAACCATAAACAATGTCTGACCTGAAAGTGAGGACAGAACAAAACAAAATATTCTAATACACTTCACTGTGACCCATCAGCAGCTTCCTCGAAGAATCCTCATTACAGCTGACCCATTAAAGAATATCAGTCATTTTCTCCAAAATATTCCTATGTTTAGAGCTGCAAAGGAGGCTAGAATAATTCAGAACAAAATTCTCAGGTTACTAATGAGGAAATAGGTCCAGAGAACTTAAGTGACTTGCCCAAGGTCACATGGCTAGTGAAGGGCACTGGCTGTTACCGGGCAAGATCTCTGGCCCCAAGGAGCTGCTTTTTCCATTGCATCAGTCAAGACAGCAAAATTTCCAGGAATTTTGATTTAAAAAAGGGGGGGGAGGTAGGAGACATGCACTTTGAATTCCCAGTCCCTTACAGTATGGCAATACTGGAGACAATATTTATTTGGGTGCAAACATAAATGACTACAATATATAGAATTTTCTATTGATTTTTTTTTTTAATGTAAAGGCACCTAAATAATGGCAAAAATTGAGAAGATTGTTAGATGTTCAAAGTTTTCTGGAACAAGAGATCAGGGCACACATAGCATCTATACCGGGGCAGTCCTTCTTCCTTACATTTTTACTCGGGATGTTCTTATGGGCACCAAGGGGAAAATATTTCTTTGGTCATGATTCAGGGATGAAGGCTGGTGAGAAATGCTCATTTGAGAGGAATGGGGGGAGAGGGAGGATAAAATGCTATCACAGTTTTTCTCTTGTTTTCCTTCTTTATTATGGAAAGGACAAATCTCAACGAAGTTTCCATCCTATGTAAGTAATACTTCTCACATAGTTTTGGTTATTTGGGAGAGCATAACACAAATCTAGCAGGTTTTCAGAACTGTCTCCCTCAGCTTGGCCTGATGAGTTTTCACGTGGGCTGTCAGTTGTCAAAAACAATTCTGCTTTTGAGAGCTTAAGCAACATTACCTCCAGCCTCAGAAAGGAACCTGACTGGAGGCCTTGTAACAACTCTATAGATTCTCAAGCTGTACAAGCCCTGCCGGACGGTTTCCTTCCACTGTGATCTCCTTCGGGGCCTAGAAGGGTGTGTCAGTCCGTGCTTTGCAAACTGCAGGCACGCAATATAGTGCTGACCCCAATGCAGTTTCAAGCCAAATGAGGTTTTCTCGATGATTCCCTAACCTGTGTCCGTTTTTATTCCTTCTCCATCCCATTAGTAAGGGATGTAAATATGAGCAACTTGAGCAACCCAATCAATCCCACAACCACGTGCTGTAGCTCCCTCCTGCTCCCGGATTTTAAGAGGGGAAGATGAAAGAACAAGGCGTCTTAGTAAACCGTAGTAACCAAAGGAGGGAAACAAAATGGGGCTCGTCACATGGTCACGGCCCGGATTTTTCTCAATTAAAAATAAAAGGAAGTTGAGTGTCTCCGGCCTCTGTCAAGTGGGCCGGTTGGACTTTCTCATTCTTAGGATTCCGATCTTGTTGCCTGCGGAAGGCTGAGTGCAGAGCCTCGTCCGGGAGGGGGAAGGAGGGGCTCCTGTTTGGCCCAGGGAAGGGTTGGGGGGACGGGGTGGGAAGAGGACGCCCCGCAAGCCAGGCCAGCGGCCACTACGGGACCCTGGCCACCCCGTGGCCCCGCCCCGCCCCGGCACAGCTTGGCTAATTCTCGCGCTGATTGGCTCTAGTGGGGGCCAATCAGCTTCCACCTGCCCCGCCTCCTCAGAGCCATTCTCTGCGCAGTGGGCAGCGGCTCGCCCACCACCGCTGCTGGGGAAGGGCCATCCCCCCCTTTCCGGCCACCTCAGCGCCCCCAGGCCACCGGGGGTGGGCGGGGTGGCAGACTTCAGAGGGTAGCCTGGGCCCCACAGCAGAATCTCCAACCCCTGGCAAAAGGGAGCCAGGAGGGAGGGGGAGCCAAGTGCCAAATAAATAGAGGAATGCAGGAAGCGGAGGTGACCGGGGGAAAAGGGAAAGTGCCAGAGCCCAGAAGGGTTTTGGGCCAGACAAAAAGGCCACACAGCGAGGGGAACTGGAGGAAGACAGGGGAGGTGGTAGTGAAGGTACAGAATCCTTGACCCACCCCTTCAAAAAAAAAGAACCCGAAAAGGATGGCTTGTGTCTGTGTCTTTGCCAAACCCTGCTCTATCTGCCCAGCTGCAGTTTCAAAGGGAAAAACAAATTTGAGGTTAACGCTGGTGCAAAGTAGCTGGGCTGCTGTGTCTTCTTTGCCTGCCTTCCTGGGCTCTCCATTTACTATCTGCAGAGAGAAGGCCACACGTAGTGCGAAATTCTGGAAGGGAGCAGAAAAGGGGGGGGCAATGCCGGGAACCTGAAATAAGAGGTGGGAAACAAAGGGAATGGGAGAGGGGAGATTCCAGAAAACAATCTAGCAGGTCAGCACCAGGTTAGAGGAGACACAGGCTGACCAGAGAGGAGAAACAGAAAAGGTGGTTGGACAGGAGGGGCAGCAAAGGGCACCTGAGCTCCGAAAACGCCTTGTGAATGTTCTCCTTTAATAGCAAAACACATTAGACAAGCAGAGATGTTTAAAACGAGGGGTTAGAAGAAAGAGCACATGCCTCAGTCCTCAGCATCTCATTCCCTTTCATGTTTCTGGTTTTACCTGAGAATTGGGAGAGGCAAAGATAGTAATTGCTCAGGAAGTTAGAAAGACGTGTTTTCACAAACTTAACCTATTTCTAGGAAAAGCTGTTTGCCAAGGACAGGTTTGATTTCTTTCGGTTTCAGGGTATAATTGACTATCAAATCACACGTTTAAGCTCAACAGGGCAAAGGCAAACACGCAGAATTCAGGGCGTACATGTGCCAAGCAGCATTTGGTGCCTCATTTCAAAGATACACACCCCTCATCTCTCTCCATTTACATCTACAAATAAACTGTAGAATTGCCTGGCATGGAGCTGTGAGAACATGGTCTGCTCAGAGTCCAAGATTATTAGGGAAACGATGATATGGTTAGTCCAGAATATTATATTTTCCCTAAGAAAGCTAAGAATAGAAGACTTTTGTTTTTGTTGGTTTGTTTTTAATGTATCTCCACAGATGGAGGACTTTCAGCCCTTTTTAAAATGTAAAACTCTATTTGGTTATCAATTGCCTTTAAAGCAGGTACTATTTATTCTACTCCATAAAACCTGTTCAAATTAAGAAAACAGGTGAGGAAAACTTATTGTTTCATAGCCTCTTTTTTTCAACTCCTACATTTAAGTTCTGCTGGGGAATTTTCCTTCAAATTCTCATTACTTTATAAATAAAAGACTGCACGCAAAATGATTCAAGTGTTAGAGGGATTCACATTCCCCAAAACATCTTCAAAGATTTTTACCGTTTATGTTGATAAACACGATTAAATCTTCTCTAGTGAATCATGAAAATAAATGTTGAATATTGATCAGATTACTGCTTTTCATAATATATCCTATCACTGAAAATCTTAAGTTTGTTTGTATACCTACATCTTGTTCTACAAAACAGAGAATGATATGGCTCAAATATTGGAAACTGTTAGAATCAAGGAGGCTGTGAATACATAATTAACAAATACCTATCAATAGGAACCCAAAAGCACAAATTAATTTCTTGTGAATGAGCACATATTAAGAAGAATGCTTCTAAAAGCTCACTTAGTGAAGCATATATAAAAAGACTATCACAAGATAGACTGTTTGTCAGAATAAAGTGTTTCCAAATGCTGGAAACTTCTGCATTGCCAACTCATCACATTATTTGCAAACTATACTCCTCTCTTCTCCCCACAATTATGACCACCAGAAAATAGGCTCAACAGAAAGAAGAACAAGCTAATTTCCTATTACAAATGCTTTTCATTTTCAATACAGCCTGAACCACAGAGGACCTCAAGCCAACTTTCAACTTTTAATGAGGCGTCCACTCTTGAACTTAAAGGCAAGTAATAAATACCCTAAAAATAAAGAGTACAAGGTTTAGTCCTTACACTGAATGCAGAACCATACCAAAACCCTCCATTGCCCTGACTTAATACTCCTCCTTTCAACATTAAAATGTTAAGTAATTTTACAGAAGATGCACAGGAGCCCCCAAATGATCTTTGTGATGTCTCCATGCAGGACTTTGCAAGAACCGACAACTGTGAGGCAGGCACGCGGAGCTGAATTTCCATAACTCTTAACTAATAATGGGTCCCAGACGCATACAGGCTTCACTGCACACCCTGTACAAAAGCAGCCATGGCTGTGAGGTGGAGGTCGGTGTGTAAATATTTCCCAAATCCTGGTTCAGGAACAAAAGGAAAGCATCACCCATAATTACTTTTTTCTAAAGAGTCATTGGTAGACAGGTTATTTCTAAATATGTAAACCTAAAAAATATCTTATACCTGAATCATTTTGGGGGGAGTGTGAATAAAATGAATATATCTTACTGCTCTTTATGTTGCCTTGGTATTATGTAATCACAGAAATAAAGTGCACAGAGTAATTTAGGAAGATCAACCTAAGCGTGTCAAGAAATGATTTGAAATGAAGGCTGTAGCCCTGTTCTAACACATATTTTTGTAGAAGAATTGTCCCTTCCAGGGAGTGACCTAACTGTAGAGTCAAAAGTAAACTTCGATAAAGAGATCAAGGTTCTTCTACATCAATTTCACAAGCCTCAGAACTGGTGCTGTAGAATGTATGTTTTGAAAACATGACAGTTGGCAGCCCCAAATGAAACAGCCCTCCTGTATGGCTGCTCCCACAGGTTTATATGACTATCAGCCAGGTGTTACTGTGGGGTGAGCATCTTGTAGGCCCTGACCTCCCCACCTCACACCAGAGTTCGCTCCCTTAGGAAGAAGCAGGAAAGAGATGGAAGGGCCAGAGGCAAAGATGAAGGGAATCCAAGCACAAGGTTAAAAGCAATTTTGTCTTCTGACTGTGTCACCATAAAACGCACCTGCTGTGATGTCCAGTTGAGCTACTGGAGGTCCTCTGGCTGCTTCTGGAAACTGATGCTGGCATAGGCGCTTAAATCCTCGCTGGAGCGGCTGGTGGAGCTGCTCTCACCGCTGCCCAGAGGCTGATGAGGGGGCGGGGGGGCGGGAGGCTGCGCTTGAGGGGGGCGCTGCTTGAAGTCCTTGACCAAATCCAGGTCTATGTAGTTCAGACCATTCTCCAATCCCCCAGCAGCCCCACACACTTGAGCGGGTTCCTCCTTTGGGGCTCCTCCGAGCTCCCCAGGTCTCAGCCACACGTTCTCAAAGGAAGCAGAGCTGTGACGTTTCACCTCCTCAGTGCTGCCGACGCCACCACTGCCGCCCCCTCCTGCAGCACCCCCGGTGGTGGGCGCTGAGTTGCCTGCCCGGGGGGTGCTAGGTGTCGAGGAGAAGGTCTCTGAGCTATGCCGCCTCCGGCACCCTTGCGGGTCTGCGCGGATCACTTTGGCACTCTGGTTGCCGTTGGGGCTGAGGTTCACCCGGGTGAAGGCACTCACGCCCCCGGGTCCCTGCGGGGCCCCCAGCAGGGAAGAGCGGGCCACCAACTCCCCTGTTCCTTGAGGCGCAGTAGGGGAAGCAGAGGCTGCTGAGGATGAGGAGGGTGCAGCCGCCGTGGCCCCGGGAAGGCTCGCCTCCTCCACAACGCCCGTCCGAATTTCAGCATAGCTGACAGGGGCAACTGGAGAGGTGTCCACGTAGCTCTGATGGGGACAACCCAGCTGCATGGTCATGTAGTCACCCCGGGTGCTAGGCACGGCCCGGGTGGGCCTGCACACGCTAGCAGTGCCCGGAGGGGCAGGGCCCACTCTGCTCGGCTGGCCCCCAGGGCTCTCCTGCCAGGCGGCCCTCCGGCCGGGCCCCAGGTCCATGTTCATGTACTCTTCGGTGCCCGTCTCTTCCTCCCTGGGAGCGGGGTGGAGTTGGGATGGACACCTGAGAGAAGGCGAGCTATGGGGCGCCATGGGCCCAGACAAGTAGCTGGGCTGATCGCTCCCAAACTCAATATTCACATATTCCCCCGGGCTCTTGGGCTCCGGAGGGTGCAGCAGGGCCGGCTGCTGCTGCTCTCGTGCCCGAGGTAAGGTGCTGGCCTTGGGGTCCCCCAGGGACAGCCTCGTGGGCCGAGCCAGGCGGCTATGGGTCTGCGCAGCTGTATCCACCTTTCGAGGCAGATGGGGCTGCAGGACCTGATGGTGGAGGTGATGGGGGACGCCGGGCTCCGGCCTCACCCCACAGTATCCCCCGCCCAGGCTGTCGCTGCTGGTTGAGGAAGAGGAGTCTTCGGTGGCTGCAGCATAGAGAAGGCGACCCGAGCTGGAGGAAAGGCGGAGGTGCTGGTGCCGGGCGGCCTCCTCCAGGTCCCCCGGGCGCTGGGTGTGCTTAAAGGACCTTGGCAATGAGTAGTAGGAGAGAACTGGCTTGTGCTGGGGGTCCTCAGGGCCGTAGTAGCAGTCAGAGGGGCTGCTGGTGTTGGAGTCCCCCACCGGCGACATGTTCATGTAGTCACCTGTACAAGACAAGAGCTTGCTACCGCTACTCTCCACGGGCAGTTTGGGGTGTGGCAGGGCGTGAGAGTGATGGCCCCCGACCCCATTTGTCCACATTTTCCCATAGCTACTCCCAGAAGGGGCGGCACTGTTGCTGCCGCTGGGCACGCCCCCAGTGTCAGGGGAGCAGCTGCCGCTCGGGGACATCATCATGTAGCCATTGGGGTCCACTCTCTGGGGATGGCGTCTGATGGGGTTGATGATCTGCTGTGGGGCAGACACACTCTTGGGACTCATGGGCATGTAGTCCCCGCTGCCTTTCCGGCTGCTGGGCACTGGGGCCACCCCTGGGGACATGGGCATGTAGCCATCATCAGTGTGGAGGGTGGAGGTGTCGGGGCGGCCGTGGCCTCCGCGACGCTCCAAGGCGTGCATTTCCAGACCCTCCTCAGGGTAGGACTGCGTGGGCACGAAGGCGGAGTGCCGGGAGCCGGGCAGCCGGCCTCCACTGCCACCTCCTGGTGGGTAGGCAGGCATCATCTCTGTATACTCCTCAATGGAAGCCACGGAGGACTGCGATGAGGTCTTCTGATGGGAAATAGTGGGGGATGTGCCAGCAGAGTGAGTCCGCTTTCGAAACCGATTCTCCAGATCTGCAGCGCTGGCTGCTTCATCCCCAGCCAGGGCCGGACTCGTGCCCAAGCCAGCGCCTGGGAGGTGGCGGTGACCGTTGCCACCCCGAGGCAAAATGTAGTGACCGTTGGGGGCGGTGAGAGTGGAGGCCCCCTTGCCTCCCATGCAGATGTAGTTGCTCAGCTCCTCCTCTCCGCGGGCTGGCGGGGTGTGGCCCAGGGAATCCGGGGTGACACTGCGGAAGGAACTTCGAAAATCGCAGGGACTGGAGCCATACTCATCGGAGGAGATGAAGCCGCCATCACTGGGGGAACCGGACACAGAGGCACTAGATCTCCGCGGGAAAAGACAGTCAGAGGTGGAGCCGTGGCCACTGGTGCTGCTCGAGGACAGACTGACTGGGCTGGTGGCCGAAGGCGAGCAGCGAGAGGAAGGCATGGGGATGGAGCGGCTGTGGTTGAGTGGGGGGTGCAGCCGGGAGCTGCCCCGATGCCGGTGGGCGTGGGTCCTGTTGGTGCTCGGACTCACAGGGCTGCCGTCCACTGAAGCTGGGCGGGACATGGTGCCTTCACCGTCGCTGGAGGCGCGGACACGGAAGGAGCCCTGCTTGCTGCCCACCATGCTCGCTGGAGAGGTGGCCGTGATGCTCTCGGTGCGTGAGCGGCGGGTCAGCCCCACCTGGCTGGGCGGAGGGTTGTTGAGGTGGTGCCGGCGCAGGGGGACACTGATGGGGTTGGAGCAGTTGGAGGAAGACTGGCTCTTGCTGCGAGGCCGGAACTCGTCGCTCATGGCCCTCATGGCCTCCAGGATTGTCTCGTGCATGTTCTGGGCCACCACCGAGTCATCCACCTGCATCCAGAACTCCCCGGGTCCAGTCACTGCGGAGCGCCCCACTTCGATGAAGAAGAAGTTCTCTGAGTGGCCACAGCGCCGGATGTTCATCAGCTGCAGCACCACGGCCGCGGCATCTGAGTTCAGCTTCACGAAGCTGATGGTCTTGCTGGTCAGGCAGAGGCGGTAGATACCAATCAGATTCTTTGTCTGACCCAAGCCCTTGGGTTTCAGGATCACCTGCCAGACCTCTTTGAACGCGGGTCCTGGGGGCTGGTCCCCGTAGCTCAAGTCCTCCCCAGCCTCGCCAAGGCCAGAGCTGCCACTACAGCTGCCCCCGCCACCTCCCGCCCCGGGGGCCGCAGACCCGTCGTGGTGGGCCTTGGCACGGTTGTGCAGCTGCAGGAGGGCCTGGTACCAGCTGTCCTGCTCGGCCTCGCTGTCCGCGGCGATAGCGAAGTGCTCGTCCCGGGTGTAGAGGGCCACCAGGTGCTTGTTCTTGGAGTCTGCGCGCTTGTTGATGTTGAAGCAGCTCTCGAGGGGGATCGAGCGTTTGGGGGCGCTCGACTTGTGCCGCCACTTCTTCTCATTCTCGTAGTACTCCAGGCGCGCGGGGCCCCCTGCCTCACTGGCCGCCCGCAGTACGAAGAAGCGCTTGTGCATGCTCTTCGGTTTGCGCAGGTAGCCCACCTTGCGCACGTCCGAGAAGCCATCGGTCTCCGGAGGGCTCGCCATGCTGCCACCGCCACTGCTGCCGAGCAGAGGGAGGCGCCGAAAAACCACCCGGTGAGGGGCGGAGGCTCCTCGCGGCGGCCCCGCGCATGCAAACAGGGCTGGAGGCGGCCGAAACCCCGACTCCGAAATCGACGCTGCCCCCCTTCGCCTGGGAGGGGCGGCCGCAGACGGACGCAGAGGCTGCGCCAAGGAGATAGCCCCAACCGGAGTTTACGGGCGTTTCATGCCCGGGCGAGAGGCTGTGCGTCCGGCGGGAGTGCAGCCCGGATCTTCCCAGAGCCAAGTCTCCGGGAAGGAGCGTAGATGCATCTCTCGCCGGCTGGGCTGGAGTTCCGCGCTGGCAGGAGGCGGCGGCAGCCGGGGGTCCCCAGGTTGCCCCTCCAGGAGCGCGCGCCTTCTCTCCGGAGTTCCCCTCTGGAAGTAGCGATTCCCGAGGCAAATTAAATATCCTTGGGCAGGGGGAGGCGAGCTGCCAAGTCTCAACGTTGCACGGGGTTCTCCCTCCTCCTCCTCCTCCTCCTCCTCCTTTGCCTCCTCCTCCGCCTCCTCCCACCCCCTAACCGCCCCCGCCGCCACCAGCCGCCCAAATACCAGCTCAAGCGCAGAGACCGCGGCGCTGCGGCTGTTGCTGCTGCTGCCGCCCGCGGGCGCGTCCTCTGCAGCCCCCGTTCGGGCCCATCTCAGCAGGCGGAGAAAGTGGCTTTTCCAAGCAAAACGCTACTAGGCAACCGGGGTAGCTGGGGACGGGCCGGAGGGACTGGCACATCCCTGACCCTCACTCCAGTCCGCAGGGGAGGAGAGGAGGGGACCAGGACGGGAGGCGAGGGATAGATTTGGGAAGGAGTAGGGGAAGACGCCTCTTCCCCGGCGGGCGCTGACGCTACAGTTACTTCTCCCCTCCTCCCGCCTCCTCCTCCGAGAGTTGCCGAGAGCCCCAACCAAAACAAGCAGCGGCGTCTGGCTCCGCGCGCCGGCCCCCTCCGACCGCGCCGCCGTCTCACTCGGAGGAGAAAAACACGTGACGGAGACTCTGCGCTCCGCAGCCCGTCCGCCGCCACCGCCGCCGGGAGGCTCCCGCCCGGGTCTCTACATTCCGGGCCGAGCCCGCCCCGCGCCCGCCCCTCTCCGCCCCCCGGCCTTGCCGCAGCGGCGCCCGCGCCTGGCCTCCTTGCAGCGCTCGGCCAGCGCCCCTGCGCGGCCGCCTGTACGGACGCACGGCCTCCCTCCCCGCGCGCCACCCAGGGTGCCCCCAGCCCGCAGGAATCCCCGCTGCGGGCGCAGGCGGGGTGTTTGGGTGGCTACCCGAAAGCACGAGGGGAATCTGGGAAAACGGCTGGGGGTGGGGGCGAGCTCGGGAAGACGCAGGAGCTGGGGTTGGGGGGGTCGGGGTGCACTGCGGCTACGGAGCCCGGAGTGGGAGGGCCCGGGAGGAGGGGGCGCGGGAGTCGGGCTGCAGCTTACCTAACAGGTAAGACCGACCCCTCGGGAGGGAGGTCTCTAGTCAAGGCTTTCTCTCCAGGGAATATAAAAGCTGCATTTCAGTTTCGAGGTGATAGGCTGTGGCGAGGAGATCTGAATTTTTATAAGGTTTCCTAAGGGACTATAAGGCTGTGGGCCAGCCTGCTCCTTGGAACCCCCGCACTTGCTGCAGGGAGGCATCTCAAAGGAGCAGATGGACGCCCACGGGCAGAGGTTGGGAGATCCTGGTCACTCCGAAAGAGCAGAGGGATCCCTGGGAAGCACCCTCAACCGCCTGGTGCTGTGGCCTTATAGCTGCTGATTAGGGAGAAAATAAAATACTACAGCTTATCCCCATCCTGGCGAGGGGCGGGGATTCACCCCTAGGGGTGAAGGCACAGGGAGAAAATCACATGCCCCTTATCATGTTATGAAGTCTATTTAAGATTTTAAAATATGTTTGGGACCTGCAGGGATCCATAAGACCTGATGTGTAAATATTGGCTTAAGCATTGGTTTCACACACAGCTTCCGCGCCCATTGAACCGCACCATAACGTTTTTACCCTTGACTACAAGGATAAGCGAGAGAGAACAGGGATGGTGCCAACTCAGCTGTACAGGAACATGGGTCCTTCACGAGAGCAGGTCAGCAGCCTGGGTCTACAGTGAACCTTGCAGTATCAGTTACCACAAGCACACGCTCCCCAAAGTTTGGGGTGTTTTTTTTTAAAGCTGACCTATAAACAGGCAGTTTAGTTTGTCCCTGCCTGCCCAGCTAGCATTAAGAACCCTGCAAAGATGACTGCCACTCGGTTTAATGCTGTCTCGTTTTTCCACCTCATTCCTGGCCCCTTCGGGGTTTCCGTCCCCTTTCTGCGCGGGAGACCCTCGTCTGTTGCCAGATCTCCGGCACTGCGGGACGCTGGCAGGGAAAGCGCAGCAGCAGAGGCGCTGGGCACGCTCAATGGCCGGCTGGGCTGGGCTGCAGAGAAGCGCGCCTGGGCCTGATGCGGGGGTGAGAGGCGGGAGGAGTTTCTTGGAGAAGCCTGCTGATTGGTGGGGCTCCCCGTCTCTCAAGTCTTGCATGGCAGGAGGGGAGGTGGGGAGATTTGGTAGGGGTACCAAGGTAGGTTGCGAAGCGTAGAAAAAATAAATAAAAAAGAACCATAGGCGCCATTCAGCAGCGTATAATAAGCGAATTCCGGGGACTCAGCATCTGCAAAGGGGAGCTCCCCGCCCGAGAGCTCCTTCCGCCTTTCACCTTTTTGTTCCCTGCCATCACGCAACCTCATCTAAACCTGGTTAATCTATCATTTGTGTACACAGTGTTGAATTGAAAGCCCGCCCTCTCTCCCCCTGACAGCTTGGTGATGTGGGCACACGTGCCCACTACAGCAGAGCTATAAATAGCGTATATTTGGAACTGGTAACGAGGCGGCAATAGCGGTGACCGAGATTCTGGGGGTACAGTGTGCTTTACATGGAGCAAGGGACGGGTTGGGGCAGCAGAGAAGCATGAAGTTAGCAGTAAAGTATCACTGGGATTTCCCCCTTGGCAGGGAAAAAGATAAAAGGTTGTTTACTAGTAGCAATGTAATCTAAGACCAAAGGACTTTTAGCAGGTCTGATGTTTAGCGCAGCGTGGAGATTATTTCATATTTCATAGGAAAACGATCTAAATCCATAGACTTACTTTTCAAATAACAACCCCGACCCCCCACCCCCAAGAAAAAAGAAAAACTAAGTAAATGGAACATGCTTGTGTAGAAAACAAAATATTGTACTCTTTCTTAAAAGGAGAGGGCAGGAAGACCAATTTAACTTGCAAATATTCTACAACAACCTTCACAGAAAGGTTAGGGTTTTGATCACATAAGACACATTATTATAAAAGCTTTTTTAAAAATGTCTCGGTGGGAAAGGATTTCTGCTTTAAACTCAACTTCAGTGGCTAATATAGTGGCTAGAAATCATGAAATAAAGTGAAATTCTATTCAGACCAATGGGTTTCATGTGAAAGACAATCATTGATCATAGGATATAGAATATTAGATATTGTCATTTCTTCCTGCTTGCTGATGTTTTACTACCAACATTAAAGGTGGTTAATATTTATTATAAATATATTATAGTGGGTTCATTTGTTCTCTACATATTTTTTATTAATGGGTTGAGGTAACTCTGGAAATGTTTGGTGCAATAATATTCAGAATAGAAAGAGATGCTTTTGTGGAATCTAAGTGAAGTAATTTAAGCAGGTACAAGAATTATCCTGTCACCTTACACTAAATTAGTCTTGTAGTATACTGTAATGGTATACACTGTATGAAAAATTTACTCCTAGCTGAAAATTCACAGAAACCAAAAAGCCAACTAGTACCAAATATATTGCTCAATGCTGCCATCTGTAGGATAGTTAGAGGTGATTTGTGTAACAGACTAAAGTGCATTTTAAAACAAGTAGAGATAAAAATCGATTCATCAAAACACTGGAACATCTATGTTGATAATTCACAAATGGAGTTATGATTTCAGAAGTTAAAGCTTCATATTCCAGGGGTACACTATTGAGCGATACGTCTACAGTTAGTTCTAAAATAAAAATATTGGCCCTGGCTGGTGTGGCTCTGTTGGTTTGAGCATTGTCCAGGAAACCAAAAAGCTGCTGGTTGGACTCCCAATCAGGGCACATGCCTAGGTTGTGGGTTTTGGGGTCCCTCCCATTGGGGTGTGTAGGAGAGGCAACTGACTGATGTTTCTCTCTCACATCGATGTTTCACTCTCTCCCTCCCTTCACCTCTCCCTCAAATCAATAAGCATGCCCCCAGATGGGCATTTAAAAAATGGAAATATTGGTCTGTATGATGTTAGCAGGTACATCATAAAGACTTTATAAGTTACTATATATGTCGCTAAAGTGATCTCTAGCTATAAACTTATCTTGATTATGAATCGATCTGTTATAAAGTAAACATTTTATGTATGGTCAACATAGAGAACTATAAATTACTGTCCTAGCAGAAATTAGAATTGGGTTGCCTAACTGTGTAACTAACCATTTGAAATTTAGAAAGTATTTTGTATATCAAAACAGATGTTTTACTTAAGATAAATAGGTCACAGCTGAGGGAGCTATTTAAATATTGTCATCTCTAGAATTAATTTTGTCAATTTAGAATGATGCTTGAAGGAAAATTAAAGCTTGTACATTTACTCATTTTAATGTCTATTTTTATTTTAAGATAGTTTAATTGTAAAATATTTGAATGCTTACTCTGCAAGACAGTATGAACTATATAAAAAGAAACAGCTTTTTACAGCTTGGATGGGGTGATGAGAGAGATACGAAATAAAGATAATTCATAACTAAATCCCTCTGTGTGTGTGTGTATGTGTGTGTGTGTTCAATCTCGAATAAGTGGTATTCACTTACAGCACGTGGCGATCACGGTAGATGAAATAACTGAAGAAATCTTTAGGAAGGAGAGGAGCCGTAAGCCTGACCTCGAAGGGCGGATGTCACCCAGGTAAGTGATTGGCTATTGACTTGCTTCTGTGTTGCCATTCCCAGGTTTTGGAGCACCATCCTGTGTTAGGCATTAGGCTGGGCACTGAGGATTTAGATATCTACGACACGATTCAGCCCACAAGAAGCTTTTCAGTGAAGATGCAAGACAAATGAGTCCAACCACAGAGTGCTGTGATCTCGTTGGTGAAAATGGCACAGGGCAAATGAGATCTCCAAACCATCAACTGCCTTCTAATTTAAAATCATCAATCACAGACAGTACCATTTGGGAGCCCAGAGATGCCTTTCCCCTTCAAAACCTTGCAATTAAAAATTTTCTGCCCTGGCTGGTGTGGCTCAGAGGATTGAGTGCCAGCCTGCCAACCATTCCCAGTCAGGTCACATGCCTGGGCTGCAGGCCAGGTCCCCAATAGGGGGCACTCGAGA